AGACTGGCACTTTTTTTCTTCCCTGCTTCTGACTCTGATTGCTCGAGATTCCCCATTGGATCCCCATCAGATCAGACAGTTGCCCCCCTCCCCGGTCACCACCCCCCAAACAGGAGTGCTTTGTCGTGTTGAAGATGTTGCTGTGTTTACTGTGGGGGGAAAGGAGAATGCAAGCTGGCAAGGAAGAGAAAACGGGGGTGGGTGAGGGGAGTGGGGAGTTATTGTTTAATGCGGGTGGAGTTTCAGTTAGGGTCGATGACACTTCGGCAGATGACCGTGTGGATGGTTGTGCAACAAGGTGAATGGACTTAAAGCCCCTGAACTGGACGCTTACAGGTGGTAAACGTCATGTTACCTATTTTACCACAATAAAAGCTTAAAAAAATCTGTTTTGAATGGAGAAATAGCAGTTTCTGGGATCTTGAGCGATGTAGCTCAATCAAGTGGCGCGTGGCTCCAGGTGTCCATTCTTACGTGGAGTCCTCTCTGCCTGTCTTGACTGCTCTCCCAGCCTCTGTCTCTATTTCTGTCTTTGTCTCTATCTGCCCCTGTCCGTCTCTTACTTTTTTATTCGAGTTGCCTCCAAACCCTCCCCACCCTACGGTTCCCCAGCCACGGACCTTAACCATCTGTTACGGACTGAACTTTGCGTCCCCCAAATTCATGTGTTGAAGCCCAACCCCCAGGGTGGCATTTGGAGGTGGTTCCTTTCGGAGGTAATTAGGTTTAGATGAGGTCATAAAGGTACAACCCCCATGATAGGTTTAGTGTTTTTATAAGAGGAGGAAGAGGGACTCCCCTGGTGGTCCTGTGGCTAAGATACCATGTCCCCAGTGCAGGGGCCCGGGTGTGATCCTGGTCAGGAAACTAGATCCCCACATGCTGCAAGTAAAGATCCCACATCCCTTGTGCCACAACTAAGGCTTGCACAGCCAAATGAAAAATTTTTTTTTTAAAGGGGAAGGAACTGGAGTTCACCCCGTCCCCCACCTCTCTCTCTCTCCCTCTGACTTGGGAGGACACAGCAAGAAGGTGACCATCTGTAAGCTGGCCGTCTATGAGCCGGGAAGAGGGCCCTTACCAAAAGACAAGTCTTCTTGACCTTAGACTTCCAGCCTCCATATCTATGAGAAATAGATGTCCGTCGTTTAAGCTGCCCAGTCTCTGGTCTTCAGCCATAGCAGTCCGATACGAGGCGGACACCTATCACCTGTAGGTCTGCAGACCTGGGCCCCCGTTCTGAGCCCTCTGCCTCTCAGAGGAAAGAGTGTCTGCAAGGATTGTTCCCTGCTTCCTAGAGGCTGTGTCGCAAAAGGGCTCAAACTGTTACCCCCACCTGGTTGCTATAGAGACCCACTGGGAGGTTCCCCATTTTCCCCATCCCCCAACCCCCGGCAACCACTTCTACTTTCTATCTCTGAGTTTGACTTTTTTTTTAGATTCCACATATAAGTGATATCATGTTTGTCTTTGTCTTTCTCTGTCTGGCTTTTCACTTAACATCGTGCTCTCAAGGTCCATCTGTGTGTGCTCAATCACTCAACTGTATCCGACTCTCTGTGACCCCACAGACTGTAGCCCACCAGGCTCCTCTGTCCATGGAATTTCCCAGGCAAGAATACCGGAGTGGGTTGCCATTTCCTTCTCCAGGGGAATTTTCCGGACCCAGGGATTGAACCCGTGTCTCCCGCTCTGGGCGACGGATTCTTTACCACTGAGCCACCTGGGAAGCCCCAAGATCCATCCGTGTTCCTTCCCTCTCACAGCTGAATAATATCCGTTCTTTATGCACCACATCTTCTAAAGCCATTCATCTGTGGATGGACACCTAGGCGGTTTCTCTATCTTGGCCATGGTGAATAATGCTGCTATGAACACGGTGGTGCCAATATCCTTTTTTAAATGTCCTTTGGCTCTATACCCAGAAGTGGGATTGCTGGATCGTTTGGCAGCTCTATTTTTAATTCTTGAGGAATCTCCAAGCTGTTTTTCCTAGCGGCTGCACCGATTTACATTTCCACTAACATCGCATAAAGGTTCCCTTTCCTCCATGTCCTCACCAATGCTTGTTATCTCCTGCCTTTCTGATCATCACCGTCCTAACAGATGTGTGGTGATAGCTCATTGTGGTTTTGATTTGCATTTCCCTGATGCCGAGTGATGCCGAGCCTCTTTATGTATTTGGGGGTCATTTGCATGTCTTCCTTGGAAAAACGTATATTCAGTTCTCGTGCCCAGTTTTAAATCAGATTTTTTCTTTTTCCACTCTATTGAGTTGTGAGAGTCCTTTGTATCTTTTGGATGTTAAGCCCTTATCAAGTGGCTGATTGCAACTATTCTCCCATTTTGGAGGTTGCTTTTTCATTTCATTTCCCTGGTGGCTCAGATGGTAAAGAATCTGCCTGCAGTGCAGGAGACCTGGGTTCGATCTCTGGGTTAGGAAGAGCCCCTGGAGGAGGGCGTGGCAACCCACTCCAGTATTCTTGCCTGGAGAATCCCGTGGACAGAGGAGCCTGGTGGGCTACAGTCCAGGGAGTCGCAAAGAGTCGGACACGACTGAGCGACTTAACACTTTTCATTTCACGGATGCGCTCCCTTGCTGGGCAGGAGCTTTGGAGCTAGCTGAGGCCCACTTGTTTATCTTTGCTTTTGTTCTTTAGTGTCCTTCAACAGCCTTTGATCTTCGCACCAGATCAGACTAAGCTGAGAGCTGGTCAGTCCTCCAGCCTCACTTCTGAAGAATCTGTTGGCTCTGCTTCTTCCACGGGGCCTTGTCCAGGTTTTGTTATTTGTTTAGAGGTTATTTTTAGCTGGCTCGGACCAGTGTTTGAGGTAAGTCGTGTGGGTACTTACGCAGCATTATTTTTTTAAATGATCGTGACTATTTTCAACTGGGTATAAGTTCTTAGGCAGAAACATTTCCTTTTTAAGGCGCCGTTTTTCTGGCAGTTAAGAAGACTAATCTGAAAGATTAGCCAAAATAGCTGCTTGTTAAATCGCTTGAGTCCGGGAAAGAGAGGCGCTGCTTCTGTTCAGGGATGCTCGCTGGGCTAAAAAGCAAAGAAGAAAAAACGAGAATTGCTATGGACGTCTATGAGCAGTGAACGCCTTTCTAGAACCAAGATTTCTTTGTTTCTATTTCTTTCTTCCTTTCTAAAAACTAGAAAACTCATCTTCATCAATAATTAAGAGCATAAACTTGGCCCAGAAACCCATCCCCCCAAATTCAAGTTGAAAGTCCATTAAGACTCCCCTGGGTGGTCCCGTGGTTAAGACTCCTCTCTTGCCATGCAGTGGGCACAGGTTCAATTCCTGGTTGGAGAACTAAGATCCTGATGCTGCGGAGCATGTCCAAAAAAAGAGAATCACTGGGAACAGTAAGTGCAGACGGCCAGATCCTATCCCGAGAGCTTGATTCAGAAGAACTGGGGAGGCCCTGGGATCTGTGTGTTTTCATTCACCCCAGGTGGTTTACAGACTGTACTTTCTGAAATGGTGATAAATACAGATGTCCAGAGTCATCCCATAAAAATCCATCAGATCGAAGGATGGGGAACTTCTTTTTGGACACAAGTTGAAAGATATGTTTAAAATAGTTCAATAAAGCTCCAAAGAATTCATCCCCATAAAATATAGCTCAAATGAAAATGGGATAAATATTTTAAAATTTTTGATGAAAGTAGGTTTTGTTAATCCAGAAGAATTTTATTATCCGTCCCCACATGAGTTTTTAAAAAAATATTTATTTATTTGGCTGCGCTGGGTCTTAGTTGTTGTATGTGAACTCTTACCTGTGACGGGTGGGATCTAGTTCCCTGACCAGGGATCAAATCCAAGCCCCTTGGCATTGGGAACATGGCGTTTTAATCACTGGACTACCTGGGAAGTCCCCCCATGTGAGTTTTTTTTTTTAAACTTTGAACAAGTAATAATTCTAGATTTCACAGGAAGTTTTCAAAATGTACAGGAAGGTGCTCTATACCTTCAACAGTTTTGTCCAATGGTGATATCTCGCATGACTATAGTAATACATTTTTCTATACAGATAGTAACATACATGTAGAAAATAGACATGAGCTATAATAACTGGGAAACTAGATTGGTACAATCTACAGAACCAATTTAGATTTCACTAGTTTTACTTGTGTGTGTGTGTATGTACCTGTATGCAATTTTATCATACATGTTGATTCGTGTAAACACCATCACGATTAAGACAGAATTGTTCCATCAGCACAGGGGATCTGCATGATAAGATATCTCTTTCTGCTCTCCTTACTCTTCTTCCTGCCCCGCCGTGGGTGGGTAACCACTAGTTCTAATCTGTTTTCTGTCGCGATGACAGGATCATACAGTAGGTAACTTCGCAATATTGGCTTTTTTTAACTCGGCATAATTCTCAGTTGTGGCATTGTATTCATCCTTTATTCTTTAACACTGTTCCATAGTATAGATACATCACAGCTTGTGTAACCATTCACCTGTCCTCAGACACTTTCATTGTTTCCACTTCAGGTTATAACAAGTAGAGCTGCTATGAACGTTCATGCACAGGTTGTGTATGAACATAGATTTCTATTTTGCTGGGATAAATGCCCAGGAGCGCAATTGCTGGGTCATATGGTAAGAACATATTTAGTTTTGTAAGAAACCACCAGACTGTTTCCCAAAGTGGCTATATCGTTTCACATTCCCACCAGCCATGGATGTGTGATCTGGTTTCTCCACATCATCACCAGCATTTGGTATTGTCACTATTTTTAATTTTAGCCATTCTAACACATACATAGTGATATTTCATTGTGGTCTTCACTTGCATTTCCTCAGTGACTAATGATGTTGAACATCTTTTCATGTGCTTGCCATCTCTACACTTTTTGTTGAAATATCTATGTATTTTTTTGCCCATTTTAAAATTAGATTTCTTTTTCCTTTTTTTTTTTTTTTTTGGCCATACCTCAAGGCTTGTGGATCTTCATTCCCTGACTAGGGATTGAATCACAGAAGTAAAAGTGCCGAGTCCTAACCACTGGACCGCCAGGTAATTTCCCTAGATTTCTTGTTTATTTTTCTGTATAGAGTGTTTTTTACTGTTGAATTTTGATAGACATTTATGTATTCTAGATATTCCATTGAAAACATCTTTATTTTCTTTTCTGATCACAGAGGTCATGCATACTCATTATTTTTTAAAATTCTAGCACCTCTGAAATATATAATACAGAATGTGAAAGTTCTCTGATATTCTAGCACAGATGTAACCATATTAACTGATATCAGAGGATTTTTTTCCCTTTTGTATGTACTATAAACCTATTTATGTAAATACTTTTTTTTTAAAACTAAAATGAGATGAATGCAAACTGCTTTACATTGCCTTTTTTTTTTTCCCATTTCATAAGGTATCCTAGACATGTTTTCTCACGGCTGGCAGAGACCTACCTCCTGTTTTTTAACATCTGCATAATAATTCAGTTGTTCATGTGAAACTTCAAAACTACAATGAAAGCATTCACTTGAAAGCCAGGAAAGTTCCCATTGTATTTTGTTTCATTTACGTTGGAGATTTATCATCCTGAAGCACACGGCTGTTCAGTCCCTTAGGAGCTAAGACAACATGCAGGTTTAACCGAGCTCGTGCTTGAAACTTCGGTGTCAGGCGTGTGGGCCGGTGGGCTGTTAAGTTTTTCTCAAGTTTCCTTAAAAGCCTGTGACCCTCCTCTCCCCGAGTGTTTTTTTTCTAGAAGCCTCTGACTCTGGTGTCGATTAAGCAGCAGGAAGAAGCAGGCCTGGGAGTCAAGCTACAGCCAGTCCTGGGAACACAGCTTTGGGTTCTTTTCTTGGCTGCTTTGTGGAAATTGATCCGACGTTTTGCACAAAAGCGTCTTCCTCTGCGTCTGATTTAGATGAACAGTCCCAGGACTTCCCTGGTGGCTCAGTTGGTAAAGAATCTGCCCGTAATGCCGGAGACCTGGGTTCCATCCCCATCCCCTGGAGAGGGGAATGGCAACCCACTCCAGTATTCTTGCCTGGAGAATCCCTATGGACAGAGGGGTCTGGTGGGCTACAGTCCATGGGGTTGCAAAGAGTTGGACACGATTGAGCGACTAACACTTTCACTTCTTGAAGTCCCAGCAGTGCCTCCGTGGCTCCATGTCACCGGCGTCCTGTTCTCTCCTGACCTCCTCCCCGCCTCCTGGCTGACCCCAGCCTCCGCACCCTCCATGTCCCTCCTCAGAGCCTCCTTCTCTGAGCTCCTCCCCTCACCCCTCCCCCCATGGTGGCCCCCACTTCCTCTCCCCCTCCAAGTCTTTGTTCCTTAAAAAAAACAGATTCGATACTTTAAGTATAGTATGTTTACCAGGATGAGTCAGTGGTACAATCTTCCAGTTTATACTTATTGCCAACAGAAAGGCTTGGAAAAAAATGTTTCAGTAGTGTAAGGTGTAGCTTTTTTTTTTTTAATGCCCCAATTTTTTAATAAGTCCCTGCACAGCATGCAGGATGTTAGTTTTCTGACCAGGGATTGAATTCGTGCCCTCTGCAGGGAGAGCACCAGTCCTAACCCTCGGATGGCCAGGAAGACCCTAAGGCTCTTGAATACTGTATTCAGAATCTTCACCTCCCTCTATTTTCGATAACAGAAGGAGATACATTAAGAGATCTCTTCGTTTCCTTTTATTTGGCCCCGCTTTGCGGCCTGTGGGATCTTAATTCCCCCAGTCAGGGGTCAAACCCCTGCCCCCCCCGCCTCTGCCCCCCAATCCCAGCAGTGAGAGCACAGTCTAAACCACTGGACCGCCAGGGAAGTCCCTTACGTGACCTTCTTTGCACTAATATTCTTCCCCCTCAATCATTGGTAACATCATTCTATCTCTCCAGAGCAGCTAAAAATCCTCTTATCAATTGAAGGATGAACAGGACTCTGACTGCTCTCCTTCAGATGCTGACCTCTATTCACAAATTTCGTTTCTCCACAGATCTTATTATCAGGATGTTTTAAGTTGTGGTAAAATACACCTAATATAAAATTTTACCATTTTAACTGGTTTTAAGCGTCCAGCTCAGGGGCATTAAGGACACTCACACTGTTAGGCACCCATCACCACCCTCATCTCCAGAGCTCATTTCATCTTCCCCAACCCTAGCTCTGCTCCCGTTAAACACTCACTCCCGGTTCACCGCCCCTTCCCCGGCCCCTGGCGCCCACTCTTCTACTTTCTGTCTTATGAATGTGTCCTCCAGGGACTTTACAGAGGTGGGATCCCACAGTATCTGTCCTTTCATGTCTGCTTTATTTCGCTCAGTGTCACGTCCTCAAGGTTAACCCGCGTTGTCGCCGGTGCCAGAATCTCCTTTCTTTCTAAAGCTGAAGAGCATCCCGTTGTGTGGACGGCTGCATTCTGCTTACCCATTCATCCGTCTGTGGACAAGGGTTGCGCCCGTTTTTCGGCTCTTGTGAACAATGCCTTGTTGTCTTTTCATTTAGTGTAAAGTTATGTTCCACAAGTGCGGGAATTGTTGTCTGTTTCAATCGTGGATGTATTTCATATGCTTAACCCAGAGCCTGGTACGCAGTGGGTACTTACTGAATGAGTGAATGAATGCACTCCTCTTTGCCCATTGCTGTTGCTGGGGGGCTGGGTTCAAAGGCTCTCCGGCCATCAGACGTTAAAGGTTCTAGGTCCATTTGGCTAGCACTTACCAGGTGTCTGCCCGTTCATTCATATTTATTCTGCTTTTACTATGCGCTGGGCCCTGGGCCACACACAGGACACGTGTTGAGCAAAACCAGGCCAAGTCCCTGATTTCTGGTCTCTAACAGGGGACACAGACATCGGTCAGATATCGCACAGACTTCTTGTCAAAGAGAGCCATGGAAAGGCATTTCTCCTCCACGCTTTTGCCACTGGATCCAAGTGGCCCATTTGTTCTTTTGTTTTTGTTCTTTTTTACGGCTGAGTTTTAAAAATCCCTTATGTATTCTCCATAGGAGTCCTTTGTTGGTTATGTGATTTGCAAACAATCTCTCCCAGTCTGTGATGTGTCTTTTCTTTCCCCTTATCAGAGTCTTCTGTAGAGCAAATCTCTTTAGTTTTAATGAGGTCCAATTTATCCCTTTTTCCCTATGTGGAAATGAGATGATTTTTTTTTTTTTTTGGTTGTAAGACATGACATGCAGTTTACCATTAGTGGCCACTTAACACATTTGGAATATTGGGCAACAGTCATTACTGTCTAGTTCCAGACATTTTCATTGGGCCAGGAGGAAACCCCAAACTTACTCCCTCCTCTGCACAGCCCTGTTTTCTACCTCTGTGCATCTGCCAACCTTTCACAGATAAATGAAACTATGTAACGGTCTCTCATGTCTGGCTTCTTTCACTGAGCATGATCTTTTCAGATAACAGAGTTTTGATCAGACTCCTTGTGGCTCTGCAGTGACAGTCTGCATTCCTGTTGGGTCCTCCAGCACCATAACTTTTTTTGGGGGGTGACTTGTGGGATCTTGGTTCCCTGCCCAAGGACTGAACCACCTGGGCCCTGTGTTTATTTGGCTGCGTCGAGTCTTAGTTGTGGCATGCTGGATCCTCGCTGTGGCACACGGCCTGCCTAGTTGCGGTACACGGGCCCTGGAGTCCCCGGGCCCCGTAGTGCGCAGGCCTAGTTGCTCTGCGGCATGTGGAATCTTAGTTCCCCAACCAGGGATCGAACCCGCGTCCCCTGCATTGCCAGGTGGATTCTTAACCACGGCACCACCAGGGAAGTCCCTCTGTCTCCTTTTATATCTGAATCTGGCCACTCCTCCCTGTCCATCTCCACTTTTACCATCCGAGCTTGTGCCTTCATCTTTGCTGCTGCTGCTGCTAAACTGCTTCAGTCATGTCTGACTCTGCGCTACGGACTGTGGCCCGCCAGGCTCCTCTGTTCAGGGGATTCTCCAGGCAAGAACACTGGAGAGGGTTGCCATGTGCTCCTCCAGGGGACCTTCCCGACCCTGGGATCGGATCCGCATCTCTTACCCCTCCTGCACTGGCAGTCGGGTTCTTTACCACCAGGCCTTTGTCTTTGACCTGCACCAAATTCCAAACTTGTTTTTCTGCCTCCCATCTTAACCCTCCAAACCTCCCTCCTCCCACACACATCCTTCCGAAACGCAAATGTGACCCCATCCCCTTTCCCAATCCTTACCCAAGTAATGACTCCCAGGCACCTCTCATCAAAGTCTGGGGCGATTAATCACTACATTAAAAGACTCACGGTATGGGGAAATGTAACTCACAATCAGGAGGTACTTTACCTCACTTTATCCCAGCCCACTCTTGATCCTGCCTGGGGGGGAAAAATGTGATGGAGCTCAGAGCATATGGTATTTTTAGAAACAGAAAGTAGGTTCTTTACTTGGGAAACATATAAGTATTCTGAGTCCACCCATCCATGAAAAAAATCACCTTTAAACCCTCCAGGTCCTGAGAATTCCAGATAGAAAGGTAAAAAATGGTATATTCTTGAGTTAGTCATTTAATTGGAAATGGAAAAATTATGTGCTTTTTTTTTCGAGTGCACCACATAGCTTGTCAGATTTTAGTTCTCCGACCAGGGACCGAACTCACAGCCCCTGCAATGGAAAAGCACTTTCTTTCTCTGGCTGTGTCAAGCCTTAGCTGAGGCACGTGGGGTCTTCACCGTGTCATGTGGGGTCTTTTCACTGCAGTGAATAGACGCTCTAGTTGCAGTGCTTGGGCTCAGTAGATGGGGCAGGCGGGCTTAGTCGCCCTGCGGCATGTGGTATCTTAGTTCCCCGACCAGGGATCAAACTCCAGTTCCTGGCATTGCAAGGCAGATTCTGGACCCCAGGGAAGTCCCGGTCCTGCATGCTTTTCAACCATATAGCACTCTTAGGTGGGTCAACAATGAAAACAAGGATTTGGCCGGGGACACTGGGCTCATGAGGCCAGGTGAGCAGATCCAGGCATTCAAAGGTCCCTATTGACAAATAAACATTTGCCCCATGGGACCCAACCACCCAGCATCTCCCCAACATTCTCCTTTTAAGTATCGGCAAATGAAACAGATATAACTTTGAGCTTAAAACGGGATGCTTGCTTTTTGGCAAATCCATTGTAAGGGCCGTTGGTCTTCAGAGGCTGTTTTTCACTGACCCTTTGGAGTATGAGGCTGCACTTAGGTGTACCTTCAAATTGTAGCTGTTTCAGAAATTCAAATCAGGAGAGCGTCATTGCTGGTTACTTACATGGTACGTGGCCAAGACCATTTGGGAAATTTAATAAAATTTCATAGTCAACCAAACAAATGAAAAAAGCCTTTTCAGAGGAGGAAAATGGAAATAACTTTTTAAAATGCCCTTTGTCTTTTAACCATGAAGTTTTTCCTTGACTGTGGCTGCTTGCCACTATCATTTTTAGAGCTAAGGTCTCATGCATAAAGCCTAAAATTCTTCTGTTGAAAGGCACTTCCTTCTGCTATTTTATCACCTTCCTGGTTTTGTCTAATCTCACCCAGAT